TTCCAAGCGATTTTTTTCTTTTTTTTTTTTGATGATTTTATCGAACCTAGTCTTTCTATTTTAATAAATTTTACTCGAACGTTTTTCATTTATTCTCCAAATTCTCATTCTGCGGATGTTCGAATTAATTTTATGAATATTCCCAGGATATTTCACTGGAAAAGATATTTTTTTTTCTCCCTTCGGTGATGCAGACAGGTCTTTTATTTATTCATTTTTTTTTTTGGCTCCCCCAGCGATATTTCTACCGCAATACAATTCGACGGTGTTGTTTGTCGTACAATTTGAACGATTTCCGGTACACGGTGGTGCTCTCGAGGTATACTCTCGGATTTCTGATATCTCTTTGCTATCCCGTAACAGGATATTCGTATCGACGTCGAAATTAAAAGAGAGGAAAAATGGGAGAAGGAGAGAATGAAAATTGCTGCATTTATCAAATGTCGATCGTTCGAACGATTACGATGAATGTGTACCTGTGATGGTATTGTGGGATCAGAAATATAAATAGATGTTTATTAACAAAATATATGAACAACTATAACACTGTGACACACGCTTCTCGACTTTTCCAAACACACTGTCCATTCATCCCTCGCACGCCGTACTTTATAACCACTCTCGTCTGGCTATCGTCGCTCGTCGCCCGCTTTCTCTCTCATGCTCGCCACATTTGCTTGAAACTACTGTGGGATCAATTCGTCAGGAAAAACGTGTACTCTTTCTGTCGCATAGCCAACTCGGCTCGGTACAAATCTGTCGCGTGCAGGGCACAACGGGTATTAAATGCCGAGACATTTCAGACGTCCTTACCCCCCGGGAAATCTAGCTTGCAATCTTGCGCTCCAACTGTAGCCAGATTATCGGAAATCTGGCGCTCACGCGGGTTTACGACGCGTCAATCCCTATTGAGAATAAGGGAAAACGCTTTGAGGTTGTTAAACATTGCCTGCAATTTGAATTCTAATTGGAAATTCTCTTTCCGTGCTCTGCGAGTACTTCGATTGGGAAAACAGAGGGACTTTCGATCCTCGATTGGGGAATTCGTCGACAACCGCACAGTCAATCGTGCGGGATAACGCAAGTTTGTGATTTTAAATAACTCATGGAAGAGGGAAAGAAAATTTGTGAGCCGTGTGATATAATTGTGATGACAATTAAGTCTAAAAGAAAGGAGATTGCTAATTTTCATGGACTTCGGAGATAAGGCAAAGTAATTATCACAATACTTTGCATTATTAAATTAGGTTTCGAGATATTTTGATGTAGCACAAAGTACTTAGATTAGCTTAGAAAGCATTTACAAGTCCCTCAAACTATTAAATTAACTTACGAAGTATTTCCAGATACCTCGAACTATTTAATAAAGTTACAAAGTATTTTCAAGTACTTCGAATTACTAACTCAAGCTACAGAGTACTTCCAAATACCTTGAATCATTGAGTAACTCAATTAAATATTCCCAAATACCTTCACTCATTAAGTATCACAACTGAACATTCCCAAATACCTTGAGTTAATAAATGTAGCACATTTGAACATTCCCAAATACCTTGAATCATTAAGTGACTCAACTGAACGTGTGCAAATACCATGAATCATTGAGTATCACATCTGAACATTCCCGAATATTCCGAGTTATTAAGTAACTCAATTAAACGTTCCCAAATACCTTCACTCATTAAGTATCACAACTGAACATTCCCAAATACCTTGAGTTATTAAGTGTAGCCCATTTGAACATTCCCAAATACCTTAAATCATTAAGGAACTCAATTTCACATTCCCAAACACCTTGAATCATTACGTATCACATCTGAACGTTCACAAATACCTTGAGTTATTAAATGTAACACATCTGAACATTCGCAAATACCCTTGAATCATTACGTATCACAACTGAACATTCCCAAATACCTTGAGTTATTAAGTGTAGCACATTTGAACATTCCCAAATACCTTGAATCATTAAGGAACTCAATTTCACATACCCAAATACCTTGAATCTCTGGGTAACTCAATTAAACGTTCCCAAATACCTTCACTCATTAAGTATCACAACTGAACATTCCCAAATACTTTGAGTTATTAAGTGTAGCACATTTGAACATTCCCAAATACCTTGAATCATTAAGTAACTCAATTAAACATTCCCAAATACCTTGATTTATTAAGTATAACACATCTAAACATTCCTAAATACTTTCAACGATTAAGTCTCACAACTGAACATTCTCAAATACCTCGAATCATTAAGTAACTTAACTAAACATTCCCAAATACCTTGATTTATCAACCGTCACATCTCTTCTCTGACCAACAGGCGGCAACAGCTCCGCAGGCCTGAGCTTCTGGACTACGACAACGACGATGCTTCTCACGCTGGCCACCATCGTGTTCCTGTTGTCCGCTTCGATGACGATAACCGTTGCGCCGATGATCGCCACGGACCCCGTTCCCGCCAGCAGGTAGCTCGTACGCCTCCGCCAGTACACCGCTGCCGCTGTCTGACCCGATTAAAAAACAAAAGAAAAAAAAACATCGTCCATGTAAAACCTAGTAGTCTAGGGCTTCCAGTTATGTATGTTACTATGTATGGAGTAGATAGCTCGAATAACAATTGATTTTTATTCACGAGTGGGCCTGTGTGTTTGAAGCGGGAGGTCGAAGGGGCGAGCCAGCGAAAAGCAGAGCAAAACGAAAAAAAAAAAAAACAGAATATCGAAACACGTGGCGACACAAAACACAAGCAAACTGATATTTCTCCTTATTTGCGAGCGAAACGAAGATGAGAGAGAGAAAAAAAAAACGAAAAATTGCGCGTTAGTCCTATTTCACGATAGAAAAGACGAAAAAATCGTGGAGAGGCGAGAGGCGTGAACAGACAATTTCTTCCTTTCCTTTTTTCAGCGATTCTCCGCGAGAGAAGAAACTAAATTCGATACAGAAGAGAACAATGGTGAACACGAACACGCGGTATATTTCTAGTTGAAATTTTAAGGAACAGAATGAATTGCAGGGAGGATGTGGACGAAGAGGAAAATTGAAATTGTATCCTACTGCACGCTATACAAACCTCTGCGTAACGAAAAAAAAAAAAGAAGAAAAGTGGTTGTATTCGTTAATCGTTTTTCCTTCCATTCTTTTTTTTTTTTTTTTTTTTTTTTTTTTTTTTTTTTTTTCGTTCGATGGTCGTTGTTGTTCAATTCCTTCCTTTTGTATTTGATTGTTTTTTTTTCTTCTCTTTCTTTCTCGCTAGTGGCGATTTGCCGGGTAATTGGTTCGATACGGTTTTTCGCGCATTCGTTTAGCGACCCCAGTGTTCACCGAGCGTCGAGGATATATAGATATACATACAGGGGTAATTAATATTAACTGAGTAACGATTAACGTTAGCGCAGCGACGAGCGGCGTTCTGCTCAATATCCGCTCCTTTTAAGATGTCTAACGAGGAACGCGACACCATAGGTACCGATTTGTAATCTGTACAAATTGTAATAAATTACCATACGAAGTATCATTCTTCTCCTTCGAGTATTTCTATTTATTCCATTCTTTGACATTCAGGTGGAATGTGGGAGAAAGATGCGACGAGAAATTAAGGTGAGTACATATGTGGCGGTTCTTCTTTTTTTATTTGAACGTAGCAATCCTGTTTAATACCAGGGAATTCTGTCTTTTTCAAATTCGTCGAGATTATTCCTGAATCAATATTTGACATGTTCTATGCTAGGATTTTTGGAAGTGTAATTTCCATTAGGGGGATGAAGAATATTGTCGGATTCTGGGAAAGGTGGATTAATTCTTTGACTGCTGGCTGCTTGGAAACGAAGCTCGCGCTGTGTGAGGTCGAGTAATAGAATTATAATCGTAACTGTAATTGTGGTTAATAATTTTTCTGCTCGATATTTTGTGCTTTATATTTATTAGAGCCGAGAGCATGTGGTGTGTGAATGGCTGAGCTCACAGACAGTGAAGTTTCTAGAGGAATCAGAGGATTGAAGTGTGAAGTGAAAATGACAGGAATTTAACACCGTTCAAATTTCTCTGTAATCGAATATTTCAATGTAACTTTTAAATTTTCTTTGTGACAAAAATTTAACACCATTGAAATTTCTCTACAAATAAATATGTTTCAGTGTAATTTTTAAATTACGTTTGTGATTAAAATTTAACACTGTTGAAATTTCTCTGTAATTCAGTATATTTTAATGTAATTTTTGAATTTTCTCTGTGACAAAAATTTAACAATATTCGAATTTTTCTACGATTGAATATACTTCAATGTAACTTTCGAATTGCAATTGTGACGAAAATTTAACACCATTGAAATTTCTGTATAATTGAATACTTCGATGTAACTCTTTAATTTCGTTTGTGACAAAAATTTAACACCATTGAAAATTCTCTATAATCGAAAATTTCAATGCAACTTTCGAATTTCGTTTGTGACAAAAATTTAACACTTGAAAATTCTCTATAATCGAAAATTTCAATGCAACTTTCGAATTTCGTTTGTGACAAAAATTTAACACCATTGAAAATTCTCTATAATCGAATATTTCAATGTAACTTTGAAATTTCATTTTTGTCAAAAATTTAACACCACTGAAATTTCTCTGCAATCGAATATTTCGAAGTAATTTTTCAATTCAATTTTAGTGTCCTATCGAAAGCCATATTTTCCCAACGACACAGAACGGGTTAAACAATATTTCCAAAGGATTACTCGAGATGATCCATGAATTTTCAAGCTGAAATCCACCCTTGGATACTCCGGCATCCCCTCTGCGTAATGTGTCGGCGAAATAGGTAACGAGAGCGTGAAACGAGCAACGAGAACGCCGTTATTAAATTCCTCGACTCGGCCGGCGTGCAGGCTAACGATTATCGGTTTATGTAAATACCGCGAGGCGGGCACGTGCACGCGGCCGCGCACCGAATTAAACGATGAATCCAGTAAATTCGATTTAACGAGCCGATAAACCTTCCCGCCCCAGACAGAAACTCTTTCGGTACAATTTCAGGCGGCCAAACAGTCACGTTCTACTAGCATAATTCATATCTAACCGATACACTTCGAAAATCGCGCCGTTTCCGAGAATCTGCGATCTTGTTCGATCGAATTTGAGGTTAGAAAAGTGGTAAATATTAAACGAGTGTCAATTTTCAAGTTGATACTGTAGGAATGTTGAGTTGGAGACGAGTATTTCATAAAATTTATAACAATAAGGAATTTATTAGCGTTATTTGTGAAAATTTGCTGTCTTTTGGATCGAATTTGAGGTTAGAAAAGTAGTAAATATTAAACGAGTGTCAATTTTTAAGTTGATACTATAGGAATGTTGAGTTGGAGACAAGTATTCTATAAAATTTATAACAATAAGGAATTATTAGCGTTATTTGTGAAAATTTGCTATCTTTTGGATCGAATTTGAGGTTAGAAAAGTGGTAAATATTAAACGAGTGTCAATTTTTAAGTTGATACTATAGGAATGTTGAGTTGGAGACAAGTATTCTATAAAATTTATAACAATAAGGAATTATTAGCGTTATTTGTGAAAATTTGCTATCTTTTGGATCGAATTTGAGGTTAGAAAAGTGGTAAATATTAGACGAATGGAAATTTCTACTTGATACTATGGAAATGTTGGGTTGGAGTCGAGTATTCGATAAAATTTGTAACAATGAGGAATACATTTGACGATTAAAACTTAATAATAATTGCAACAAGGTTTCTACTCTATCTCTCTTACTTTAATCCTTTAACTTTTCGCTCTCAACACTCTCTCGATAATTCTTGCTCCGTGACATTATCTCTCTGACATCTTCTCTATAATTTCTCGGAAGTGTCTCATTCGCCATCGTTTATTCTCTCTTTCTCTATTTCTATAATTCTTTCGCTCTATGCAAGCATTCTCAAAACGCATTCGGTTAAGTCCACCCAAATCTTTGAGTACTCACGCACTCTTCGTTCGTCCAATACTCTCACGCTCTCGGTCCAAACACTTTTCATTCACACCTCTATCGCCTCTATCCAGCTCTAAGTTAAAACTCTCTTTCTCTATATCTCTAATTCTTCCACTCCATTCGATCATTCTCAAAATGCATTTAGTCAAATTCACCCAAATCTTTGAGTGCTCTCTTAGATACTCTCATTCCAAACACTTTTCATTCACACCTCTATCGCCTCTATCCAGCTCTAAGTTAAAACTCTCTTTCTCTATATCTCTAATTCTTCCACTCCATTCGACCATTCTCAAAATGCATTTAGTCAAATTCACTCAAATCTTTGAGTGCTCTCTTAGATACTCTCATTCCAAACACTTTTCATTCACACCTCTATCACCTCTATCCAGCTCTAAGTTAAAACTCTCTTTCTCTATATCTCTAATTCTTCCACTCCATTCGACCATTCTCAAAATGCATTTAGTCAAATTCACCCAAATCTTTGAGTACTCTATTTGATACTCTCATTTTCTTATTGCAAACACTTGTCATTCGCACCTCTACCTCTCTAACTCAAGTATTTTTTACTCAACAATGAGAAATCCTATCACACGTCTATCTCTCTGGTCCAACTACCCGTTTAAATGTTTACAATTATAATCTATTATTGCCACAACACGTGAATTCCTAGCAAGTTGGACGAGTTTCACTGTGCAATAATATTGATTTCACGCTGAATGATCAAAGTGTCTGTGGTCATTGTTACAACTGAAGGGATTAATTCGTCAGGAAAATAGCGACCAGATCGTTCACCCATGAAAAGCAGATATTCCCGTTTATAAATTGAAAATTCGAAATGAAACAATTATGCATTTTCTTCAATTGGCATTGTGACCATTTAATTTTCCATCGTTCGGACTCGCTTCTGGGCCTCTGCTAGCGTGAACTTCTCTTTTGTTTCGTGTGATAATTTTATTCGTTATTTCGTTATTTGGTCTTATTACGAGGTGATTATAAAGGAAGCTGTATGTGTGAGAATGTCAAAATTATTACGGAATAGCAATCTGATCTAGCAATTCTGTAGTTCCTTTATAGACACAGATGAATCAGTATTAATACAAGCTTATCCTATTTTCGAGAAGTTTGGAAGTAGTAGACATTTCAATGAATATGAGAATTTTCAGAAAAAAGTTGAGTTAAGTAAAATTAACTTTAAGAGGATCTTAAAAGTATCTAAACAAATTAAAAATTACCAGCAACCCCTGTAGAATTAATTCCAGACGATCAACAAACAACAGTATGCAAAAAAAAAAACAATAAATTGAAGTGAAAATTTTCAGAAACGTTGAGTCAAGTTAGATTAATTCAAGGAGGATGTTAAAAGTACGAAAACAAATAAAAAATTGCCACCAAACACGGTAGAATTAATTCCAGACGATAAAGAACCAACAGTACACAAAAGAAAAAATTAAAGTGAGAATTTTCAAAAAAAAATTGTATCAAGTTTCGTTAACTCAAAACGG